TTCCTCATTTCTCTGTCAACCAGCACTGGAAACATTCTGCATACATAATAGTGAACTGCTAGACACATTCCCAGTGAAATAAGGAACAAGACAATGACACTGGTGCCCACCATTTTTATTTAAGTTGAACAATGCACTAAAAACATACATTAAAACTGGAGGTGAGGCAGAGGGAAGAAAACTGTCAGGATCAAAGTTTCTATGAAACAACTGCTTACCTAAAAACTCCACAATGATCAATCATATAACTATTAGAGTTACAGAGTTCACAAAAGTGGCCAGATACAAAATAAAAAAATAATTACTCCATATCACAGTAACAGAACATGACTTTCAGTCTTCAACAGAAATTTGTACCTCTGTAATTCCCCATCAAAAGGTCAAATTATGGTTGTTAGCCATATTTTTTTTTAAGGAAATGATATTTATGATGCTTTCCCTCATTTGTTTGTTTATTTTTATTGATTATGGTATTCATGGGGAACAAAGCTGACCGTCACCACCTGCGCCTAAGATGTGATGATCAATACTATCAGCATGCCCATTTCCACAAATGGCAATTATTACTTGTGTCCCCACCCAACCTTTCCCAGACTACCCTCTCCCCACACCCTTCCCTCCATGCCCAGCAACCCTAGGTATGTTCCCTCTCTCTGCAAGTCTAATGCACCACTGTGGTCTTTCTTTCCTTCTCTCTCTCTTAGCCCCCACTTATAAGTGAGGACATGCAGTATTTTTCCCCCTATGCCTGGCTTATTTCACTTAGCATAATTTTCTCCAAACTCATTCATGTTGCTGTGAATGGCAGAATTTCATTTTTTTATGGTTGAGTGGTATTCCATAGTGTATATATACCACATTTTCCTTATCCAGTTGTCTGTTGATGGGCAATTAGGTTGGTTCGATATCTTGACTATTGTAAATAGAGCTGTGATGAACATGGGAGTGTGGGTATCCCTTCGACATGATGATTTCCATTCCTTTGGATATGTACGTAGAAATGGGATTGCTGGATTGTATGGTAGATCTATCTATAGTTGTTTGAGAAACCTCCATACAGTTTTCCATAAGGGCTGTACTAATTTACAGTCCCACCAACAGTGTAGGAGAGTTCCCCTTTCTCCACATCCTCTCCAGCATTTGTTATTCTCTGTCTTTTTGATTATAGCCAGTCTTACTGGGGTGAGATGATATCTCAATGTGGTTTTGATTTTCATTTCCCTGATGATTAGCAATGCAGAGCATTTTTTAAAGTACCTGTTGGTCATTTGTGTGTCTTCATTCAAAAAATGTCTGTTCAGCTCCTTTGCCCATTTTTTAATTGGGTTATTTGGTTTTTGCTGTGTAGTTATTTGAGTTCCTTTTATATTCTGGATATTTATCCTTTGTCAGATGTATAATTTGCCAATATTTTCTCCATTTCTATAAGTTGTTGTTTCACTCTGTTGATTGTTTCCTTTGCTGTGCAGAAGCTTCATAGTTTGATATAATCCAATTTATTTATTTTGCCTTTTGTTGCTTGTGCTTTTAGGCTCTTATTCATAAAGTCCCTGCCCAGTCCTACTTCCTGAAGTGTATCCCGTAGGTTTTCCTTTAGTAGTTTTATAGTTTCAGGTCCCATCTTAAGTCTTTAATTCATTTTTGAGTTGATGTTGGTACTTGGAGAGAAGTGCAGGTCTAGTTTCATTATTCTGCGTATGGCTGTCCAATTTTCCCAACACCATTTATTGAAGAGGCAGTCCTTTCCCCCAATGTATGTTCTTGTTGACTTTGTAAAAGATCAGTTGGCTGTAAGTCTGTTGGTTGATTTCTGGGTTCTCTATTCTGTTCCACTGGTACAAGTGTCTGTTTTTATTCCAGTACCATGCTGTTTTGGTTATGATAGCTTTGTAGTATAGTTTGAAGAAAAATAGTGTTATGCCTCCAGTGTTATTTTTTTGGCTCAGGATTATTTTGGCTACTCAGGGTCTTTTGTTGTTTCATATGAATGTTAGGATTGTTTTATCTATTTCTGTGATGAATGTCATTGGTATTTTGATGAAGATTGCATTGAATCTGTAGATCACTTTGGGTAGTATGAACATTTTCACAATGTTGATACTTCCAGTCCAAGAGCATCGAATGTCTTTCCATATTTTTTGTGTCTTCTTTAATTTCTGTTAGTAATGATTTGTAGTTCTCATTGTAGAGATCTTTCATCTCCTTGGTTAAATTGATTCCTAGGTATTTTATTTTTTTGGTGACTATTATAAATGGGCTTGCTTTCTTTGCTATTTTGTTAATGGAGAATAACACAACTGATTTTTAGTCATTGACTTTACATCCTGCAACATTATTAAAATTATTAGTCAACTTTAAGAGTTTTTTTGTAGAGTCTTTAGGTTTTTCTGTATATAAGATCATGTCATCTACAGACAGGGACAGTTTGACTTCATCTTTTCCCATCTGGATGCCCTTTCTTTCTTTATCTTCCCTGATTGCTCTGGCTAGTACTTCCAGTACTAGGTTAAATTGGAGTGGTGAGAATGGGCATCCTTGTCTTGTTCCTGTTCTTAAGGGAAGCACCTTCAGTTTTTCACCATTCAGGATGATATTGGCTGTGGGCTTGTTGTAAATGGCTTTCATTGTGCTGAGGTGCTTTACTTCCATACTTAATGTGCTGAGAGTCTTTATCATGAAGGGATGTTGAATTTTGTCAAATGCTTTCTCTGCGTCTAAAGAGATAATCATATGGTTTTTGTCCTTGATTCGGTGGATGTGATGTATCACATTTTTGACTTGTATATGTTGAACCATCCTTTTATCCCTGGGATGAATCCTACTTGATTATGGTGTATAATTTTTTTTTGGCATGTTCCTGTGTTCTGATTGCTAGTATTTTGTCAGGGATTTTTGCATCAATATTTAT